CTAGTTAAGAACTCTTTTCCCCCTTCGTTCACCGCTGCAAAGAGTTTGTTGTACCGAGCATCGAAACCTTGGGTGGTGAAGGCCACACATACATGGGTAAGGTCTTTGTTGAGCTCCTTGCTCTTACATGCCCGGTAAAAGTTGTCCACGAAATGCCTCATGCACCATCTGTGGTGAAGCTTTGGAAATCCTGGAATAACAATGTCCATTGCCTTGAGTATGCCATGGTGCCGGTCCGATATGATGCATACCTCCCTAGCCCCAATCACGTTGTGCCTAACATGACCCATGAACCAGTTGTCTTGGTGCTCGGGAATTTTTGTCGAAAGAGACCATCTGCCCAACAAAATGGTCAAAAAAGACCCCCTCTGGATGAAAGTGACAAAAAAGACCCCCTGGCCGTGGCGAAAGGCGCGCCGGGCGACACGTGGCACCTGCCGCCACGGTGGGAGGCGGCAGCCCCTGCCGCCAAGGCGCCAGGCGGCAGGCCGGTGATTACGGGAATCGGCGCGAGCAACCGAACGGGATGGCAGCGTGGGGCACGACCGCCTTAGGTGGTGGCGGCAATACTATAGCAGCGGGCCCCGCCGCTTGGAGGGCTGGCGGCAGGCCTGTGCACTGCACGCTGCCGTTTTGTTCGCTGTTTCACATGCCGCTCGTCGTTTTTCTGGGTTAGGCAACAACAACATTCTCCGATGGGGAAAACGGGTCATACACAGCACACGCACAGCTACTACTGCTAGTAATGCATTGGGAGCAGATAATTTGCAGGACGGGCTGCCGTTGCTGTTTGGCCCCGTCGAACACAATGAAACGAATTAAACGCAGTGGGGGAAAGCGACGAGCGGCATGGGAAACGGCGGTACGCAGCGCACAGGCCTGCCGCCAGCCCCCCAGGCGGCAGGGCCTGCTGCTACAGTGTTGCCGCCACCACCTGAGGCGGCAGGGCCCCACACTGCCATCCCGTTCCGCTGCTCGTGCCAATTCACGTAATCACCGGCCTGCCGCCTGGCACCGTGGCGGCAGGGGCTGCCGCCTCACACCGTGGCGGCAGGTGCCACGTGTAGCCCGGCGCGCCCGCCCCCACGGCGCAGGGGGTCTTTTTTGTCACTTTCATTCAAAACGGGTTTTTTTGGCAATTTTGTTGGGCAGATGGTCTCTTTCGACAAAAAATCGGTGCTCGGAAGGCACCAAAGCAAATGCACATGGCAACACATTGTCGTTTGATGAGTGCGCCATTGCTACCATTAGTGTGCCCTTGTATCTACCGGTCAAGAACGTGCCATCTATAGACAAGACCGGACGACAATGTTGAAACGCCTCCACACATTGTCCATAACTCCAGAATGCACGGTGGAACACTCCCTCGTGATCCTCAACCACATGAAACATGCCCTGGTTCTTATGTGCAATCGCGGACAACAACCTTGGGAGCTGGTTGTATGCTTCTTCATAACCACCATACAACATCCTAATAGCATTTTCCTTTGCCTTCCATGCCTTCCCATACTTGACTTCATAACCAAATTGTTTTTTCACCGTCCGCAGGAGAAACCTCACTTTCACAGTGGGATCAAAGCCTATGTCTTTCATCCATTTGTATCCGAGATACTCATATGTGAGTTGACGGTGTGTCGTTCAAAGTCGTTTAGATGGCGGTTTGCATCTATGAGTGGCAACACAACTTTTTAACACCCATTCTTCAGTTTCTTTAAGCTTTCTTGCACGAACCTTCCATGGGCATCCTTGCTCACACACCACGGTGTAACACAACTTCATGTCGGAGTGCTCAACATAAATTGGCCTATGGTTTCGAATGGCATAGTCAGCCAACCAAAGCTTCAGCATAGGCAAGCTCAGAAACTTCACTCCTTTCTTCAAATAAGCATTCTCGTCCTCATTCTCCACCCTTGGTTCTCCTGGATCCGGGCATGGTGTTGGCTCAATCGCCGTCATTCTCATTCCACCGTCAACAACAACTTTATGGGCAAGGCTGAGATCTTTAAACAAGTGAGTTCTTTTTTCTAAGCCCGTCAGCTCAAAGTGGATTTGGTTTTCCTCCTTTGTGAATCCATCCTCGTCCAACTGTTCAACTGGACCCTCGTCATCCGAGTCATACGCATATTGACGCCTAAAAGGCAAGTCACGATCCATGTCCTTTTGCGCTATGTACGCATCCAAGTCACCAACATCATTACCATGAAACCCTTCCTCTTGCTCTTCGTCATCATCATAAGCATCTTCATCCTCTTGAATTACTTCGTCACTAGCAATCACCTCAAATTCATTTGCTTGGCTAGTTGGTGGTTGGCTTGAAGCATTGGGGGCATACAACTCAACCTCATTTGCTTTAATAGATGGTACACGGGGACGTGGTTGGCGATAAGCATTGGGGGCATCAACCACAACCCTATGCTCAACAAGTGGCACCATTGTCCTCTCGCTCATGTCATCCATTGGGGAAGAGACATGCCGGTTCAAATCAAAGGTAAACCGAGAAGATTCAACCTTGGTGGCAAACAATTCAAGTGACTTGTCTTCCGATTGGGAAACTTTTTCCGTGTATACATCCCAATGCAAATCCGAGGTGATAGGCATACTTTTCAAGCGAGATTTGGCTCCAACTCCAACATCATACCTTTCTATTAACTTAACATCAACATTGGTGTCCATCCACTTTAAGACTTGTCTCACTTTTGCAACAACATCCTCATACCCAGGGCTTGTATAAAAAACCAATGGTTCCTCACCCGTGTCGGCATTGTTACTCAAGAATGCCTCCTTGTCCATGTAATGAACATTAACAAGTCTCTCCATCTAAAAATAACATGAATGCATTTAAGACTTCAATGAGAATTGGTGTTTATCCAAATACATCTTATTATATCCAAATCATATTAACACTAAATTGTTGGTGATGTCCACAAAAGTATCACTAATTAACACACACTAAGCAAAGTTAACCCTAATCACTAACTAACCCTAACCCCCAATCTTTCTATTCGACAAGCATATATTCCTACTACACACCATGCATATCACTATATTATCAAAGTTAACCAAGGCATTCACACTAACATAAGGGAGAAAACATGAACTAGGGTTCAACCAACATGTATAAAATGCAACCAAAATAACAAGATTTAACAAAAAATAATTGGATGATTTGGAGAAGATTAACAAGAGCAACAAAGTGATGGAAAGATCCACCTAAGGGATGTACCTTTTGGAGAGGACTTGAGGGGGAGCTTGAGGGGTAGGAGAGAGTATGAGAGCTCCAAGTGCTCTTCAAGCTCGGGTTGTGGATTGGGGAAAGTGTGCGGGGTGGGCCCCACACACTCTCCCGTGGGTTATCTAGTTACCAGGGCCAGACGCCAGGGTCCCTGACGTCTGGCCCCTTTGCCACGTCAGCAGGTCAACGGACACGCGGGCAGTGTGGGCCAGGGGCCAGACGCCAGGGTCAGGGCTCCTGGCGTCTGCTTCGCAACCCAGACGCCAGGGATGTTGCCGTCACCCAAAGAGGTCAAAATCAAAATTTCTTTTGAAACGAGGTCAAATTGGGATTTTGTTAGCCTTTTAGGTCATAACAATAATTTTGTCCGATAGCTACTGAGATGGTTCACTACTGGTTGCAGATCCTTCTACTGCAGGGATCTTCTCTCTAGATTCAGGGATGATGACACAGGGCTCCGGAGATCTTCTTGTGTTATGGTTGTCTTAGGGTACTCTAGGTGTTCATGGTCCTTTGTGTTTACGTTTCAGTGTGCTTGTAAGGGTCAACTTCTTTGTACTGATTCGTGATATGAATGAAAAAATTCTCAAAAAAAAAAAATCTCCCTGTAGGCGAGAAGCTATTGTCTACTTGTCTGGCATAACGCGAGACATAACAGCGCCCGGCTTCACACACCCACACGATCGCTCCCTAGTGGGCCTAGTTTTAGTAGGGGAAACACGTCAATGGCTTGGGCGTTCATCTACAGACTCATTAGATCTAGTGGGCTTGCCCCATGGTGATGTGCCCTCTAAAAGGCACCATAATTTTCTCGGGAATATCTATGTAGCACACTACCTAAAAAAATCTATGTGGCAATGTCTTCTCGTGCTGCTACCTCCCCATGGGATTTCCTCGTTATAGAGGGATCACATGCATATATACGCAAGAATCTCCCACCTAATGCTAACATCATCTCATTATTATTATTTTTGAATTTTGAAATGATTTATCTGACAACAAGTAATCTGATTAGCGACCTGTCTTCGCTGCCATGTTTGTGTCGATGCGTGCTTTGAAACAAGATCTCATATTGACTTGTTTATGTGTTTTCTTTTTCATCGGCACCAATTGTGAGATTATGTTACCATAGGTGTAGCATATGTGCGTAAGATCTAATAAGATTGTATATAGTTAGCGGGTAATAGTTTTGTATGTTTTTTACAATGTAATGTTATGCATAACTAGAGAATGAGTATTCAAGCGTTAACATTAAGAAAGAAGAGTCTTCACTAACAAGAGCAGCACGAAGCAAGCTGGTGTATATCGCCGTAAAAAAAATCAGTCTTTTTGGTACCTCGCTTGAGCTTGCCAAAAAAAAAAATCCCGCTAAGTTGAATTTTAGCCTGGTACCTCGCTTGAGCCGACCGAGTACTAATTTAGAGCGGATTTGGGATTGGTCCGGCCTTTTGCGGCTGGAAAAACCGGGCTGGAGATGCGGTGAGGCTGCCTAGTAAAATATCCATCCACATTGGGGTCAACCAATCCTTGAGACTCCAGTCGTCACCGTTCCATCCGCCGGCGGAAAGGCACCTCGCATTCCATCCGGTAGCCGGGGATTCTTCTCGTCTTCAGGTTGCCACTCTCCTAGGTCCGGTGCTTCAGCTTCGCTCGATACGTCTGCTTCTCCTCATCCATTCAACGATTCTAACTTAATCATCTTCTGTTTTCCGCCCGAATCTGTGCAGAGCCCACCTCAATCGGCAGGGGAACAGCAAGGCCGGCAGCCATGGCGCTGGTGGTGGGAGCTTCGGCGGCGACGATGAAGTCGGTCATGGGCAAGCTGGGCAGCCTCCTCGCCCAGGAGTACACCCTGATTCGGGGGGTCAACGGCGACCTCCAGTACATCAACGACGAGCTGGCCACCATGCAGTCCTTCCTCCGCGACCTCGGCGGCATCCTCGACGGGGACCGGGCCAAGGGCCACGCCCACCGGATGAACGACTGGATGAAGCAGATCCGGGAATCACCTACGACATCGAGGATTGCATCGACGACTCCGGCCACCGCCTCCACGGCCTGCGCTCCGACATGTGCTGCTACTTCTTCGCCAACAGCGTCTACGAGGTCCTCACCTGGTGGCCCCGCCGCGACGTCGCCGCCAAGATCTCTGTTCTCAAGATGCGGGCGCAGCAGATCGGCGAGCGCCGGGAGAGGTACGGCGTCAACAACCCGGAGGCCCCCGCCGGAACCGAGGGATCTAATTCTGGGCACAGCACTTCTGTTGGATTCGACGCTGCCGACAACCAGGACGCAAGCCTTCAGCTTGTCGCCATGAAGGACCCGGTGGGAGTGGACGAACACATGAAGGAGCTGGAAGAGTGGCTGACTAACGAGAAGAACAGCTCCGGCGTGCTGTATGTTGTCGGATTCGGAGGGGTTGGGAAGACCACCATCGCCACTGCCTTGTACCAGAAATTTGGGGACCGGTTCGACCACCGTGCGATGGTCACCGTGTCTCAGAGCTCCGACATTAATGCTGTTTTGACCAACAATAAGAATCAAGTCATGCCGCAGTCCAGCGACCAAGCGCAGCAAGGCGGCGAAGGCGTACTCGGTCGGCTCAAGCGAGGTACCTCGGCATTTGCAGCCAAGTGCTGCTCCGCCGGCACCTCGAAGGAAACACGTGGTGAGACGAAGCTAGACCAAATCAAGGAAGACCTCAAGAAGCACTTTGATAACAACAGGTATCTAGTACACAATTACACATTGAATTCATGATTATTGCTTTCTCTGATTAATGCTTAATGTGTACATTCCTGATTATGCTAGTAACATGAATTAGGGACAGGGGAATTTGGCCTGCATCTTTTTTCATCCTAAATGTTTTAAACAATTTTACAGTGGACCCAAACCTTCCAATTTTAACATCAGATCTCGGATCATTTGCAGCGTTACAGTACATAAGTAACATAGGAGCCACCATGCCAATAAAATCAGAATAAGGGCCACATGTCATTTTCTTGCATACCTTCAGTACCACAACCTCATATCTTCTTGTTTTAGCTGATGAAATCGATGATCACTCGGTGGGAATCCCTGCCTTTGCAATTATGTTTCTTTGCAATCTTATTCTTCTCCTCTGCCCACATCATTTGATTCAGATAAAAAAGAGGGAATAAGTACTGTCCTTTACTCCTTTTAGACATGAATTATAGTCATTTAATTCAGATAAAGGATTAGTTATTGCCGGTCACTCACTCTGCTAATTTTCTTGAATATTCACTCTGCTCCCACTTTGGATTCCTTTTCTTGCAGTTACTTGGTTTTGGTTGATGATGTTTGGTCTGCAGCAACGTGGGACCAGATATGAAAGTCACTTCCTCCAAGTAAGCAACACAGCAGAATAATAGTTACTACACGGTTTCAAGCTGTTGCTAAAACACGCAGAGGGGAAGAAGGCGATCATACTTGTAAAGTTTTCCCTCTTGGCGTTGAAGAATCTGAGAAGCTATTTAAGCAGGCCTTCCTTGAATCCAAGGGAAGCGAGGATAACAAGGTGCCGGAAGAAGTCTGGAAGATGTGCGGGGGGCTACCATTGGCCATAGTTATCATGGCTGGTCATGTAGCCTGCAACCCAAACAAATCAGAGGGCGAATGGTTGAAGGTTTGCAAATCTCTATTTCCAGAGTCAGCAAAAGATCATGGGAAATATGGTGGGAAAGACCTTACCCAGGAGGAACTTGGTAGGATTGTTAGTCATTGCTACAATGACATGCCTGTTGACATCAAGACTTGCTCTCTGTATTTGAGCATATTTCCAAAGGGCCAGAAAATCAGCAGTAAGCGTTTGACAAGGCGATGGACAGCTGAAGGATTCATTGCTGAAAAGCAGGGGTTGAGTGTGGAGGATGTTGCAGATACATATTTCAGTCATCTCATAAGAAGGAAGATCATTCGACCAGTGGAGCACGGCAGTAACGGAAAGGTGAAGAAATGCATAGTCCACGACATGGTTCTTGAGCACATTGTAGCCAAGGCAAGTGAAGAGAATTTCATCACTGTGATTGGTGGTAACTGGCTTATGCAACTACCTAGCAGCAAGGTCCGTCGGCTGTCCCTCCAAGAAAGCGATTCCAAATGCGCTAATGATACAGAGAAGATGAACCTGTTTCATGTCCGCTCACTGACCATGTTTGGAAGTTTGAACCAACTGCCTTCCCATTCTTTCAAGTTTGGAATTGTACAAGTCCTGGATCTTGAGGGCTGCACTGGTTTCAAAGCGCATCATACAGAGGAGATATGCAAAATGCTTCTTCTTAAGTATCTCAGCCTTCGAAGAACTGACACTAAACAGCTTCCAAAAGCGATTGGGAAGCTTGAGAACCTCGAGACTCTGGACATTAGAGAGACAAATGTTGTTCAGTTGCCTAAAACTGTATGCCTGCTTGAACGGCTGGTAAACATACTTGGTGGGGATAAAAGAATAAGAAGGGCATTGAAGCTTCCTGAAGAGTTAAATAAGAAGAAGAAAATGAAGGCCTTACGCATACTGTCAGGGATTGAGATTGTTGGGGGATTGGCGGACCTTCATCATTTGACTGAGCTGAGGAAGCTTGCCATCTACAAGCTCAGCACCATGAGCGATGATCCGAGTTTCAAAGAGTTGAGCTCCTCAATCGAGTACCTTGGGGGCTACTCTCTGCACACCCTCATAATTGACGATGAGTCAGCCAAGTTTATCAATTCATTGGATGATCTGTCATCACCACCAAAATTCCTCGTTGCCCTTGAGTTATCTGGCAAGATGGTTCAGCTCCCCGGCTGGATCACACAACTCAGTGCCCTCACCAAGCTAACCCTTTCAGTAACAGCTCTCCGGACAGATAACCTGCTGCTCCTTAGTAATCTAGAGGCACTGTTCTCCCTCACCTTCTCATTTAGGGCAGAAAAGCAGGATTCAGAAACACTGACTATTCTGGCGGAAAACAAGCTGTCCTCTGATGGGGAGATCACAATTCCAGATGTTGGTTTCAGGAGTCTTAAGCTTCTTCGCTTCTTTGCTCCTCTCTTGCCGGTACTGACCTTTTCTGAGAAAGCCATGCCAGAGCTGGAAAGGCTTGAGCTACGGTTTAGCATGCTGGAGGGCATTTGTGGCGTGGAAAACCTTGCAGGTCTCAAGGTGGTGCACCTGACATTAGAGGACAAAGAAGGTGAACATATGACGAAAGAGGTGCAACGAGAGATCGAGAGAGCAGTGAAGAGGACTGATGGAAAGGCGCCGAGGATAATCCTTGACCAGTGACCGATGGCAGTAAGCCCAAGTTTGGCGCTTTGCAAGTCTGTTAAGTTGAAAATCATCACATTCTTGCCCGTTCTCAGATATTTTCACACTATTGGTGCTTTAATCACTTGAAGAAGGATGAGACTGTGAAGAAAAAAGGATGATGCTTCATCCAGGTATGTTGTGTATGAGCTTGTTAGATGTTATATTTGTTCTTTGTGCCGCAAGTTTGATCATCAGTTTACGTGATCTTGTAATTCTCTTTAAAATGCACATGTTCTTGTGAATTTCATGTTAAAGACAATGGTCAGGTATTCATATGTATTCATCTCTGGACATCTGATACCAGAGGTTATAAATTGTTAAACATGTTGCAATAAAGAGGTGCAAAGGAAGCATACTCTTGTCCAGGGTCTCGTATATTTTTTTCCTCCGAAGTAGTAGCGGCAGGGAACAAATCTGTAAATATTATTGCAAGAAACGAGTCTAGCGAAGCATCTGGATCCATAATGTGATCACTGATACTGAGTGTTAGGAGCCCAAATATTACCCCTGAAGATTTACTACTCTCACTTCAAATCCACAATCCAATCCAAGTAGTGATACAAGATCCTGGAAACAAGGGATTTTACGGGTTACAGAAAAAATGGGGAAGAGGAGCAGAGGAAAGAGAGTAGGTGAGAGGAGCAGGGAAAAGTTCTTTCTCAGGTTTATGATCGGAGATAGTTGCCAGAAGGGAAAGGCCTACAAACATCCTGTTAGGTTGGTGTGGCCTTCAGGTGTGACGCAGCCTTGGCTCGAGTCGACCAGCTCAACGGTCTGCGACCCAGTCTTCTGCTTCTCCTCTGTTTCTGAACTTGAAGGTTCAGTTTCCTCTACTGAATTCTCGTCAGTTACTGTCTGATCGTAGGCAGCAGCGTCCTCTGATGAAATCATCTCCTCAGTAAATGGGTTACTAACACCGAGTTACTGACTGTTCCACTTAGATATTTTCTGGAGTAAGGCCCCTCTCCCATGAGAGGCAGTACAGCCGAATACTACTTCTGCAAGGTGTTGTTATATTAGCGTGAGCAGATTGTAGAACCCATATGGAACAAGATTCAGCCTGCTACTGAGAAATGCGTGCAATGGGGGTGTAAGTAAAAGGTCATCAGTAGCATGGCCTTGCAAGTTCCATGCAAGTAAAAGGTCATGTGTAAGATATCCAGGGATGGATACGTATGAACAGATGACCTTTAGGGTGTGTGTGGTTTATCATTTATGCCCCCATTGCTAGCCAGTTCTGCAGTACTGTATGTTGGCACCGACACCGACGACTATGATATCCATGGGCGTCGTTTCCCTTCATGGAGCCTTCACACCTCGCCCGCCCTAGTGTGCTTCGGGCGAAAGCCTTAGGTCCATGTGAGGGTTACTCTCTCTAGATTTGGTGGCTGTTGTCCGCGACTTGTACGGGCGACGTTATGGAAGGCTCCTTTGTGGGTTTCGATGGTTCTCACTCCGGCCAGTTTTCTTTCGACAATGAGATGCAATCTATGAACGACGGCTTGATGCAAAGGGTATGGTTGTGCACTTGTGGGATGGGATTTTTAGCCAAACACATGTAGCTACTGGTTTTATGAAAAAGTGGTGGCGACATCACATGATTGAGTTTGATTTGGGTGGTATTTTTCGAGTATCCGGTCTCGAGATCTGAGGTGAAAAGTCTAGATCTGACCCGAGTTGATTATACCTGGCAATGGCGGTATTTTTGCGTAGCAACCTTGTTGAAGGCATTGCTCGGTCAAGCTGGACTCATTCTTCAGGGTGAATCTAGATTCTGGCTTGGAGGTTGGATCCGGCGATGGTGGTGCATGAGCGGTGTTGTATTTCGATGGCTTGTCGTTGAAGAATCTCGTTGCCCATGTGGTGTTTAGAGGTGGTTGGTGAGGATAGGTTATTGTTGTAGTTTGTCGATCGCTTTGGAGTTTTTCTCTCTCGCTTAGGGCATCTCCAGCTGCGCCCCCATGAAGGCCTCCCCAGGCGATTTTTTCGCGCCGGCGCCGAAAAAACGGCCCAGTCGCGCCCCCAGGAGCCCGATTTTCGCCGGCTTGGGCCGAAAACAGCGCCGGCGGACCCAGGCCGAACCCGTCGCGCTGGGGGGCGCCCGGGGGCGCCGGGGCGAGCTGTTTTGGCGCGAAAAAGACGCGGGCCAGCCGCGTCAGCGACTCGGCGCCTCGTCTTCCCCCAACGGCCTCGGTTCCCGCGGGGAATCAATGGCAAGGCTGCCGCCGGTCAGCCTTGCCATTGATTCCTCACGGGCGGCACGTTCACGGGACGGCGCGCCGACGCCTCCACTCCCTCGCACGCGTACACACGGGCGCGGCCCGGCTATAAAAGCCGGCGGCCTCCACTCACCTGCGCCCACACCAGCCCCGCCCCTCGCTGCCGTCCAGCCCTTCCTCTCCCTACCTCTCCCCGAGCGCCGCCACCCAGCCCCTCCCTCTACCTCTTCCGAGCCCGCCCAGCCCCGCCTTCGCCATGGCAGAACGCTTCCCCGGAGATACGGCGGCGGCCAACGGCTTCGGCTGCCGTTCGCTCCGCAAACAGGAGTCCTGGCTCCTGTTCCAGGCGAACATCCCGGCGCCGCCGGACATGCGTGCCGGGCCGACGGGGTGGAGACTCAGCGCGGGGGGAGTGCCCATTCCCCCGTTGCCCGACGCCGTGGCGGACCCGACGTACTTCGCCGAGGAGGTCGACATCGTGCGCGCGTCCCTCACCGACGTCGAGCTCTCCCTCCCCCAGTACGCCGCCGACAACCACGCGGCCTGGGCGGCGTATTTCGAGCGCCGCCAACAGCAGCACTTGGCGTCCACCAACGGCGCGCCGGTGGTCGGCAGCCGGCAGAACAGCGAGGGACGCTACCTCTGGTGGGGCGTCCCCGGCCGCACACTCGAGGGCGTGCTCACGTACCTCGAGGGCGGCAACGACTCGCCGTTGGCGTACCCCCCGGCGAGGGTGGCCGCCCCAGCGCAGCACCGACGCGCCGGGCCATGGGCTCCAAGGAGGTTCGGCGCCTCCTCTTCTTCCTCCTCATCCCGTTCGTCTTCACACTCCTCCGGCTCTCCGGCGCTGCTCGGCGTCAAGGCCGAGCCCGCGGCGGAGACGCCGCTCGGCCGGCGCACTCGCAGCGCCGGCATCGTCATCAACGAGGGCGGCCGGCGCGCCCCCTCGTCGGCTCCTCCGCGCTTCGTCAAGCCAAAGACGGAGCCGGGGCTGGCGCCGGTGAAGACGGAGCCAGGGCTGGCGCCGGTGAAGGCCGAGCTCGACGACGACGGCGACGCCGCCCTCGAATGGGCGTGCCAGGACTCCATTGCGATGGAGAAGGCGCGCCGCGAGAAGGAGAAGGAGCGCCAGCGCGCCGCCCTACGCCGCTTCGAGGAGCGCCGACGCGGCCGCGAGGAAGGCGGGGTCGTCGTCTTGTGCGACAGCGACAACGACGACTACGCGCCGCCGCCTGTTCGCCATGGCGACGCCGGGGAGGGGTCCAGCAGGGGCGCCCGCGTCAAGGAGGAGAAGAAGGCCGACGACGACGATGGCGGCGACGGCGGCGACGACTTCAGCCCCTTTCTCTTTTTTTTAGATTAGGTTAATGTAATGTTTGGACGAATTTCGTCGAAATTTGTAATGTTTGGCCGAAATTTAACTAGTTTTTATCATAACTTCGCCGAACGGTTCTGTTTTTTTTAAGATACGCGCCTGGGGGCGGCCCTGGGGGGCGACGGCTGGGGACCGACTCGCCCCCAGTGCAATTTTTTTCGCCGGCTCACCCCCAGGCGGCGCTTTTAGACGCCCCCTGGGGGGCCAACGGCTGGAGATGCCCTTAGGCATAGTTTGGTCTTGTATGACTTTGCTATTTGCCGACTCGTTTTTTGGTATTTCTGTGTGCGCACGTTGTTGTTCATTGTGTGCATCCTAATTCCTAACTATGTAGAGGCCAGATGTGTGAGTATTGTGTCTGTAGCCACTTGACGCTTCACTTGGAGTCAATTAATTCACCTTTGTCAAAAAAAAAAACCCTGCTATTTCACTAGTCTACACCCTGGGGTATCTCCTAGTAATAGGAGAAATGCTACCACTTCACCAGTATCAGTATACTGTATTGTTTCATACTCCCCTGTCCCATAATTCTTGTCGTGATTTTAGTTCGAATAGTAATCCTGCCAATTAAGCGCAAGTACACGTTAGGGCTTCTTAGCTGGTGAATAATTAAGCAGGCGATTAATCTTGTTGTTAAGGTTGTTAAAATGAGGTAATAATCCTGACAGGCGATTTCTGATTAACCTTGCATTAAGGATGCTAAATGAGGTAATACCACTCAAAGGACCTGCCAACTAAGCTGCATTTTTTGATCCTAGCAAAGCCAATTCATATAGATGGATATATAGCTCGATGAGTGCACGTTCAAACGCACATTGCCCTAGGCAGTTGTTTTTGGCCGATTACGCTGTCGATCTTGATCAGAGAGATGCTTTTGTTTATTTAATAACTAGTGGATGATTATTTTTCTCCTAGATCAGCACAGCACCTACTACATCTGACAAGAATGTTTTATGAGGCATGGCCGGTGGAATTGTCTAATACTGTACTGATAGTATGTCTAGTGCATGCATGATGCATGGCCCATGCTCCATGGTCCAGTTATGAGACAACCGGCCGGATTTACAGGCGCTGAGAAGTAGCTGCTGGGATTCAGGCTGGTGTGTGTCCGTTTGAACTTTGAACAGAGAGCTTGGTTAGTCGACCTCGATTCGGTAATGTGGTAGGTGGGAGTCCTATGGAGAACTTGCCAGGATGCCATGCCAAGCCGGTCGTCCTCAGGCCTCTACTTCCCAGCGTTTGCTCTACTGTACCTCGCTCCAATGCAACGAGTTGCATGTGGTTTTACTCCATGACGGTGTACATCTCACTCTGTGCATTTTAAAACCGAACCGAAAAATCATACCGAAAATAAACCGAACCGAACCGATTTTTTTGTTTTTATGGTTTCTGGTTTCGGTATGGTATGAACTTTTCATACCGATTTGAACTTTGGTTTTTATGGTATATACTGAAAAACCGAATGGTTAACCGAATAAACCGAAGTAAAAGATAAATTTATATTTCTTGAGATGAACAACCGTACAAGTTGTCATTTTTCTTGTACATGAGTCAAATTCACTACTAAGCACCAACATTTTTCTTGTAACATTGTCATTTTTCTCTTTTTAAAATGCTAAGCACGTCCATAACCATCAACAGATGAATCAATGCATGCATATATACTTATATATATAGTCATATACTATTTGTGTAAAATAGAATGTGTTTTGAGTCATAAATTTGCAAATTATTATTACGTCATTTTCAAATCCGCGTCAACTTTGGTTTTTATGGTATATACCGAAACCATACCGAAATAATTTGGTATATACCGAAACCGAACCGTATTTTAATTTTATACCGTATTTACCGAAGTATTAATACCGTACATACCGAAAAACCGTATAAACCGAACCATGTAAACCGAATAAACCGAACGCACAGGGCTATGTACATCATTTCTACGCCGATACAGGAAGTGGCGTTTCTTGACATCAGGTAAGCCGACTGCTTTCACATCAGTGTCTTGAGACTCGAATAAGGTTTGGTTTTCTGCGTCGTCGTGACCGGAGCAAAATGATCGCATGTACGTAGCAAATTGTTGTCTGACAAAAAAATATAATTTCCCTCTGCCGGTACAGCTCCCAATCGACAGCTCCAGCTGGTTCATTCTTTCTGCGCTGGCTAAAGACATTAAAGAATACACTAACCTGCGCATCCTGTCTACCTCTCCATTTACCCATCCCACCACATCCCCATCCAATCCCCATCCCATCGCTCAACACAAGCAAAAGAGAGCGCGTCGTAGGAGCAAAGGAGCAGCCATGGCCCAAGCCATCGCGGAGAGGGCATGCGCCAAGCTCAGATCCGCCTTAGGAGATGAAGCCGTGGCGCGGTTGAGCTTCACCGGTGACTTGCGTGATATGTTGGAGGCGCTGGAGGCCATCCAGCCCTTTCTGGACAAAGCCGAGATGCTTGAGTTGAGGAGTGACCTGCTTACGCATCATCTGCATCTTGCTGCGTGCACCGTCTATGAGACCATAGACATTGTCGACGAGCTGCAGGACGCGAGACCACAGGCTGCGACAAAGGTATTGCACATTTGCACAACCGGCCATTTATTTTTTGCCTTGCTTATTCCGGCGAAGCAATCATTACTATCCATTACTTACTTGCTGTCTTCACCGACGTGAGATTGGTTAGAGTGTAAATTATTGATCGATGTTTTAGCTGTGGTGCTGTTAAAACTTCTAATATTTTGATTTCAAGACACTTCGATGTTTTCTCCAAGCAAGATAATGTTCCATATTTGCAGATGACAAAGATGCTTCCCTGCCTTGCCATCATGAAGAATGCCATGGCCATCAAGGTGCAAGAGATGAAAGAACAGTTGCGTGAGAATTCAACAGAACTAGCAGAAGACACCAGAATGTTCCAGGAAATTACTGAGGAACAGAAAACCGGGCCAGTTTTTGAGGAAGCAATGGTTCTGGGAAGAGGATCTGATAAAGAGAGGATAATTGCCACACTGCTATGTACTGAGCCCAACATCATGCAAGAGCACATCACCATTCTTCCCATCTTTGGGCTTGCAGGCAGCGGCAAGACAACCTTGGCACAAATGATGTTTAACGATACCCACTCCCTCCAAGTCTATGACTTCCGGGTATGGGTTCATGTGTCTCCCAAGTTCGATCTTCATACAATAGGCAGCTCCATTATTTGTCAAGTGTCAGGAAGAGGACAAGAAGAGATCAACCATGCCTCTTCAGACGTGGAGGGGATGGAGGGTATAATGAAGCGCCTTCACAAGTTACTTGATGGTAAGAAGGTGCTCCTTGTGTTGGATGACTTGTGGGAGGAGGATCCCATTCAGTTACAGCTATTGAAGTCCATGTTAACATTCTTGGGAGACAAAATGGACGTAATAGTAACCACATGCAACCAAGCCATCGCCAGGAACATCTGTACAGTTGAGCCGTACAGGCTAAATCGGTTGAGTGACGAGACGTGTTGGGAAATAATCAAGAAATCGATCCGTTTGGAAGCAGCAGGAGAAGAGTTGGAGAAGATTGGACAGAAGATCGCAAGCAAGTGCTGGGGTGTACCATTAGCAGCTGGAGGATATGCAGCCACGATAGATTCTTTCCGAGATCCCATGACATGGAAAATAATCCTGCAAACGAATATCTCGGATTTTGCCTTTTCAACTTTCGAGCTAAGCTACATGAGTATGCCACCAGATTTGAGGCTATGCTTTGTTTATTATTGTCAAATCTTCCCAACTGGTCACAGTATAGTCAAAGATGACCTGGTTCATCAATGGATTGCTCTCCACCTCATTGAGCCGTCTGAAATTTTGTCTGCCACACAGATAGCTGAGGAGCATATTTCCAGGCTTCAGGACTTGTCATTCCTTCAAACTGCAGAGCTGGACCACGTGAGTAATACTCTACTACTCTGTTGTACAAAACTTGTCGAATTTTAGAGACACAAAAGACAAAACTGAAGTGAAATTTGAGTGAAATGTATCATACTTGTTCCTACTGGGTGGATTAATTACCACTATATGGATATGGTAGTAGGTATCAGCACGAGGGACATGATATGGTGAAACGAAAGAACTCCAGAATGCTTTAAAAAAATAGTATTTGTGAAGCATCGAATTTGTTGTTTTCGCCCAGACCAGTATGAATGTTTTTTTCTTCAAGAAAAATTGCATTTTGTTTCGTTTTACTGTTCACGAGGTTGCATTTTCAAGTGTAGAAACTCCATGTCTGAGCAGAGCTGATTTTTTGTGACACCCTGATCTGACAGACAACAAGGTGCGACCACATCTGACGGCTAGGGAGTTGATTGATCGGGGCTTCCCATCGATCGATGGACGCCTAGCGTCCTCCTTTTTAGTTAATGTTAAAACATATATATGTTCCAAATGTCTAAGCTACACAATAGTAGTTACATTCTCAAGATAAATATTTCGTGATGCATCTTATAATTATGTGCATGTGCCTTCCATTTATTGCAGGCCAGTGGAATAAAGGATAAGAGTTCAATCTTGTTCACTATGCACAATCTGGTGCATGACTTCGCGGCAAAGTACATAGATAGTTTAAAATACTGTCTAGCCACCAATTATGGGAAACGAGATGGAATGTACAGTGGCTATCTAAGGGCGATGCGCTATGTCGGCTGTAGAAAAGAGGAGTTTACGGGCGACTTATTTTCACGCCATAAGTGGCTACGTGTCCTGGAATTAACGGAGAGCTCCGTGCTGAAGCTACCAAACTCCATCTGCCAACTGAAGCACCTGGGGTATCTTAAGATATCAGAATTCTCTGGACTGGTAACTCTGCCTGAGTCATTGGGGGATCTCATAAATCTGATCCACATCGACTTATCAGGCTGCTCCGGGCTACTAGACCTACCAAAGTCGTTTGGGAAGCTAATCCTTTTAGTGCATGTCAACTTGTCAGGCTGCTCTAGGCTTGCAACACTTCCTGAATCTTTTGGCGATCTCATAAACTTGTCCCATGTCAATCTGTCACGCTGCCATGGACTGACAGAGCTTCCAGAACCGCTCCAGAAGCTTGGCAAACTGGTACACCTGAATTTATCATTCTGGTCTTGTTTTGAAGGGATCGGGGAAGGCCTTGGTGGCCTCACCACTCTGGAGCACTTGAACTTGTCAAACCCTTGTTATCATCTTGTTGAGCACCGTTCCGATCTCCAAGGTCTGAAAGATGGTCTGTGTAAGCTCACCAACCTCCGGTATCTGAATTTGTCAGCGTGCCTGAATCCTATCTTTTACTACCACAAGTCACAAGAGGAAAGTCTCCAGTTCAATACAGAGTGTGTGAAAGACCTCTCCACTCTAGAGCATTTGGACCTGTCTCACAACACATTTCTGTTTGATCTGCCTGAAAGTCTAGGCGACCTCAACAATTTACACACAATGAATCTCTCAGGCTGCGTCAGACTGAAGAAGGTTGGTGAAATGAAGTCTCTCAAGTATATAAATCTGAGGAAGTGTCGGGGACTAGAGAGCTGCCAGTTTGTTGTTCGCATTGTTGATGATGATGATGCGTATAGCAGCAGCAACATTGTTCAGCTGGAGGTGGTAAATTGTCAAGAGCTCCAGATAAGCTGCCTAGAAAAGGTCAAGTCTAAAGAGGAAGCAAAGGGAATCAAAATGGTGGAGAAACAGAAGCTTCAAAAGTTGAAGATTTCTTGGACTTTGGACACTGTCGGGCGAGTGGAGGACAGTGCTTTGTTGAGGGAATTAGTGCCACCACCTAATCTGCAGTGCCTGGAGGTTAACGGCTACGCCGGCACGTGCCTCCCGGAGTACTTGGGTGAGCTCACCTCTCTCCAGGAACTCAAGATCGTCCGCTGCAAGCAGCTCAACTCGTTGCCGGATACAATGCAGAAACTCACCAGCCTGGATCTGTGTATTTTTGACTGTCCAGAATTGGAGAAGTGGTGTGAGGTTGAGAAGAACAAGAAATTGCTGGCGCACATTCGCAGCAAAAATTATGAGTATGTACCATCATATTGCTCGTTGTTTTACTCATAGTAGCCGGAAACAGGGAACGGTGGGCCGTCCCTCGATCCGGATTCATCGACCCGGAATCAGATTCAGGAACGAGGGTCGATTCGGTAAGATTCGATGCGGATTTGGCGTTTCCGCAGCCGGATCGTTGATTCGGGTTCGGTGACTCGACAGTCTTGGTTCTTGAATCGATCGAGTAAGCAAAAGGTCAGCCATATCAATCACGAACTCCTCGTTTTACTCTCTGCCCCATTCTTTTCCACTCCCCTAAATAACTCCTCGTTCTACTCTCCAATTACTCTAAGGCTGCTAATAAATTTTCCATTGGGAAGGAGATGATGTATTTTAGTCTTCATGAATCGACGATGCAGCCAGTTGCTCCCAGCCCAGCCAGTTCCCTGTATAAGTACTCCCTCGGTCCCTCCCAGCCAGTTGCTCCCCGCATCCGTAAAGATTCACGTTCCTCGTTTCATGGTACCGTACCGGATTCATCGTACCGGAATTGATTGGATCACGTTTCCGCTTTAGAAAAATCGTTCTAGAGATGTATACCCCCACTGTACCCTATTTTTTCCAGCCCCCGACTCTCGTCCCCCGTTCCCGTTCCTCGTTCCCACCGTACCGGAAACATGGCAACTATGGTTTTACTCTTATTTTACATTTCTTATGTTGGGTTTGTGTATCGCTGCTCAAAGTAGTTTTTGTACAAAAATGAAGTGCCCATCGCTGACCTGAACTCGATTTAATTGTGCGAGTTGCTGTCTTGCTGACCTTGTACATTTTGCAGGGAACCTGCTAGTACTAGCAGGCAGGAGATTGTGGAGGATGAGACATCGGGCAACGAGGTGGAGGCGGCATAGGAAGATGCAGCGGCAATGGATTGTGTTTGTTGTGATGAAATTTTTTTGCAGCAGAATGAAAAAAATTACCAGCTATTCTTGTAACGTATGTTTGGCTGCAGACTCTTTCAGGTAGCAAAACATGATGATTTGATTTCGGACAGCTTCTTTCCGCATTCTGTACAATTAATCATTTAATCTGAGATCTTGAGCGTACTTTATATGCTGTGTAATGCTCAGCCGAACCCTTGAAATCTTGCCACGTTTGTCACCCAATGTAAGTAAGTTCATACTACTGGGCATGTGCTGTTAAATTCGGTTTGGTAATATTTCATTTCAGAACATACACATACAGGTTCAGGTAAGAATGGGTCTTTCCATGACCAATCTAGAAGCTCGTTGGCCATGTACGTACTCGACTACTCGTGTTGTTATTGTTGTCATGAGAAGTTGCACTTTCGCAGACCAGGCTCCTACAAATTTCGGCGCGTCACAACAGCTTTCTGCTGGTTCAGCTATTGATAGGCGCCTCTTGTCTTTCCAAGACCTAGGCGTTTGCACATTGTACATATTACTCTATCACTGCTAACCATCCATCGAAGATCACTTGGTTGGAATTCTGCTTCATCTTTTCAGATTAATTTTGCAAAGGATTAATTTGTTTCACAGCGTCAAGTGTCAGATAATCAAGAATCTATGAATGTTCGATATTCCTGATGTCTTTTCCCCTTCTCCTTTCAGACATTTATGGAGG